TTAAGGGGTAATTTTTACTATCTTTTATTCAATAAAAAAGATGTGTAAAAGGGGAGTTCGAATCTCTCTATTCTGATTATGCTATTCAACTCATTCATTTTATTACTTTTATCTAATGCAATTACACCAAGACGAGACAAATCTATACTTTATTCAAGAGCAACTATTACAATTTTACTTATATCAGCTTTTATAGCATATGATAATTTATATCTTTTATTTTTAGCAAATGGTGTAGGAATATTCGGTGGATTATTCCATGTCACTGCTACTACATATTTTTTTCATATTTTTATCTTTTTAATAACTAGCGTTATCTTATTATTAACTTCCTTCTACCCTAGAAAAGTTTGATTAAAAAAATTTAGCAGCCCGGGTAGATTTTTATTTTCAAAACTAATCTATTACGGAGCCTTACTTTTAAATAAAATGGGAGAGCAGTTTAAAATTATAAAATACTTATTCATTACAAAATTTTTTCTAGTTTCTATAGTTATTATATCTCTTTTATTCATACCTCTGTCGTTTGATTGAAGTATACCTCATTTTTTTATACTTTTATTACTAACCTTTTCCGCCGTTATTACTCTAACACTATGGTATAATCAGAATGACTACTATTATACTGGTGATTTGTTAGCTGTTTTTTCAGGAAATTACATTGGGCTAGTGGATAAAACTATTTCTGACTCAATTTTTAACGATACATATATATGTATTAACATAATAATTGGTTTAAATATGATTATTATTGGTTTACTAAATAATAGGAAAACCTTGTCTATTAAGGATAAGTTATTATTTATTATGAAAAATAAAGAGCTGCTCTTTATTTTTGCACTAACTATGTTTTTAGCTATTTTTATCCTAAATGTGATCTTGTTCATCTTAGGTTTAGGAATAATAGTTGATACTAGCTCTCTTACACTATTTCTTTATACGTTTTTTCCTAAAGTAATTAGTGTTAGATTAATTATCATATTCTTTATCTGTTCTATCACTAAAGAATTTAAATTAGATAACGTATCGTTAAGTTTATCTAGCCTTATTTTTATGATGTTACTAGGTAGTGTTAATTATTACTATGTATTACCTTACTTTAAAGTTATAATGTTCTTAGGCTTAACAAAACTAAATAATTTACTTTCACGCGTTTACTTAGCTGATTATTCAGCAATGAAAACCACTAGTAATCAAAGTTTAGCTGAAGGTATTTATAATATCATAACTAAATTTCCTATTATGGGTAGATTATTCTCTTCATTCAGATCATATGGTTATAATTATAATATACTAAGTCCTTTTAGATCATCTTATAATGAGCTAATTAAATATAAAATTAACATTTACCCTATAACTAAAATAAGTAAATTCACTAGAATAGATCTATTTACAAATGTAGAAAAAAGAATAGAACTTTTTTATCTATATAAAGGTAAGATTAATTCTCTAGAAGCACTATTGAAAAATGACAGTTTATATCTTAGAGATCTTATTTCTCATTTCGTTTCTAGCTATTCAAATCTTACATGTAAAATTAACTTAACTTGTGCGGATCAAATCGTTACCATAAATACTACCTTTAAAAATGGGCATCTTGAAGAATTTAATTTAAACAGAATTCATCTAAATTTTGTTAAAGAAGTGGATAAAAAATCCGCTTTTAATATAAATTTTTTAAATTCTTTATTCAATCCACAGTGTTCAAAAGATTTATTGGATCTATCCCCTAAAAAAACTAATTCATTTGATCTATGTCCTAAAAATATAGATTCTTTCTACGACCCTTCGGGGGATAGAACTAGAGAACTCCTTCATTTAACGGATCCTATGAAGAATGGTTATGATTTACAGGTATTTATGCAAAAAGGTTTCCCTAATTATGACTATAATGTTCAACAAGGTGAATCTTCAAGACAATCCTTGCATTCCTCTAATTTAAATAGGGGAATAAAGAGACCATTAGATTTTGAAAACCTAGATATAGGTGGTAGCAGAGATATATCTACAAACTACCCTTGTCTTGATATTAGAATGATTAAATTGCAAAATAAAAACTATCTCTTTTTAGATTTTGACCCTGATAAACTTGATAGCCAACGTGATGCATACTTAGATGAAATTTGTACTATTGGTAGATCAGTTCTAGTGGAGCACTATAGTAAATTGGTCGAGAATAAATCGACTGTTAGGACAATTGTAGATGGTGTAGGATTTAGTGATATATCTATCTCAGAAAATATTAATGGAGGGTATATTAAGTTATATCAAGCTTTTTATCAAAAGAATTTAGATATCATAAAATCACATGGGGTAGAGCCTAAAAATATTTACCCATTTTCTAAACTTTACTTAGAGGGTAATCTAGATTACCCGGAGAGTGATTATTCAGAGGATGATTCTTCAGATGATGGTGATAATTTAGATAATTCTAATTTAGACGATGGTGATCGTTCAAATAATTATGTTAGTTTAGGAGATTCAACACAAAAAGGGCAAGAAGTTTTAAAATCGTTTACATCTGATCAAATTAATGATTTAATTAATAGATTAAGAAGTAAACAAACAGCGTACCTTTCTAAAACACGTAGAGATAACTCTATAAAGTGTAGCTTAAGAGATATTGGTCTTACCCTTTTTAAAGGAACGTTCTGATATGAAGAGGGCGAAAACGCTGAAGACGAAATTACTCATATGTTTAATGTATTAATTAAGGTAAAACCTGATTTGTTTTCTAATCTTACTTGTGAAAATGATATAATAAAAGTTAGTATAAATTCTCTTTGTTCTAGGTTAAAGAAGTTAACTCAAAATTCAGTTAATGATTTGACGGAAGAAAATCTTACTATCTTAACTAAAGAGTTAAAAAGTAGAATACATAACTTTTTTAGAAATAGGGGATTTAATGTTGGTATAGCTACTTGTGAATTTAGAGAAATTCAGGTTAAGGACATAAAAGGAATAATAGTAGAAGGAAGCAATTTAGTTGAAAATGATTTTACTAAATTACTAACAATACTTATTGAAAAAAAACCAGAATTTTTCACAAAAAAGGCTACAAAGGTTAATCTATCAAAAACAGCCCTAATTGCTTTATATAATAGGGTAAGTAACTTCATTCGAAAACCTATAACAAAAAACCAAATTGCCTTTTTAATTAATGGCTTAGAGAGTAGAAAAAATAATCTTCTTGAACATAGGAGATCTATAGGTAATACATCTGAGTTATGTGTTTTAAGTGATATATTTTTTACTAAAAATAGTATATTATTAGTAAAAGATGCGGTTTTAGCAGAATACGAACTAACCGGTATATTAGAAAATTTACGTAAAGAAAAAAAGCATATTTTTCTAGACTTACATGACATAGATTCATTAATTATTCGTTTAAGATCACTCTACAATAGATTAATCTAAGAAGATGATGTGCATTAAGTTTGGTGGCGAAAGGACTGTTAAAATCACTTATTTTTTTTTTT